GGGGAGGGGAGGGAGGGAGGGAGGAGAGAAGAAGAAGAAGTGCTTTGAGGGAATAGGTTGCCCTGTCCTTGCAATCGTTAACCCGAACCGGACCTGATTCAAGCACAGATTGCAAGGGCGAAACTGTAGGGCGGCTGGAACAAGAAATATCGAATATTAGGAGCAACTTAATAAATCACAATCCTTAGGAGGATGAAGAGGTTTTTGAAGCTCACAGCCCCGAGAAGTGTACTTGGGTACGTTTGCAGGAGACTGGGAGGTCGGCCCAGGCATTTGAGAAAACTCAGGCCCAACACTACACCTTGTCCAGCCAGCCTTGTGGTATGCCACGATGTCGCTGCAGCGATGCTGCGCGACCATGTCCGGGCAGGGATTGGGCACCTAGATCGAGTCTCGGCAAGACTTCAGGGAGTGTCGTCTCAAAGCAAGCACTACGACACTTTGAGTTGCTCGTCTCATGGCACATGATGAAACCAGCCAGATGATTCATGGTTCTTATTGGTTCTTGTGCCATGCAGCAAGCAGTTCTATACCACACATGCACAGAGAAACATGCTTGAAAGCTTGCATATTGTAGGGGCCTCTATCCTTGGACGAGCAACAGGGGCCACATGAGATGTTGCGTCTGAGGCCACCCACCGTTGGAAACCCAGCAACCCGGACGGAGTTTTCGTAGAGCCAGATGCATCCTTGCAAGATGGAAAGGCTCTGTTGCTGCATTCCCCTTCAAAATAACCAAGCAGCCATCCAGCATCACACCCAGCGGCCTGTCCAAAAAGGAGTGACAAGCTTGGCCAAGCTGCTTGGGCGATGTTGGCTTCGCATCACATGCAACAGCTGCCGTACACTCTTCTCACTTCATTCTGGGCGAAGCCCGAAGCCTGCAAGCCCCGCCAGTCGTAATTCCAACAGCCACAACTGACGAGGCCTCACCGTAGAAGGTTCGGCTTCCAGTGCTGTCCTCAGCTTCGTACAGGAAGACGAACGGTGAGCCTTCTGCTTCTTACTGAAGTGCACGGCCTTCATGCGTGCACCATTTTGTTCGGCTTGCAAGGGCTTTCGGCGCTCGCGGCACTGCAGGGTTCCTAAGCTTTTGAGATTTCAACGGCACTCGAAGCCAAAAGCCTCGTGTGTTGAAGCAGGTTTGGCTTCCACTTAGCTTTACTACAGGACCAACCAAGCAAAACAAAAAGGCACTCGCACGAACCACACGCTGAATGCTCTCCATCTCAACATTCACAGGTCACTTCCTTGCGATCACGTTGCCAGAAAACCTGGTCAGCTCGGTAGAAGAGGTCATAGAAAAGACCTCGGAGGCCAATATCTGACAATACCTCGCTGCGCGGACACTACCCGCAGCAACCATTGATGTTCAACCCAGGACCCACCGAAGCACCGAAGACCAGGATACGCTGCTCCCGAGGACCCGAGGAGCCAACCCTGCCCGCACTCGCCGCCGACGTGATAGGAACGGAAGCACCACTCATCGGTACCTACACACACTTTCAGCGACACAACGGCTCAGCCAGCCAGCAATACCAACAGCCCGGAGTGCACCCAGGCGCACTATCCAGGCATCCCCAGGGGCCAAAGCCGACCCAGTTCCAGGCGCCATCGTCATCGAAGGTTGCATTCTGATTCACAGGTGGGGGTTTGCACTGGGGTTTGCCGTGGTGAAGCTTCCACGTGAACGACGACGACTGAGACACTGACCATTACGAAGCTGATGTTTGCCACGCTGATTTTGCTGAGTGATAGTTTTCATATCTTGCTGTTAACATTGTCGCTGGTGGTGCTCGTGTTGTTGTTGCAGACAGTGATGGTGGTGCCGGCGGCGGCGGCGGCCGGTGTGGCAGCCGCGGTGACAGCGGCCACTATGATGATCAGTGTGCTGGTGCTTCCGACTCCGATTCCAAATGCTTTTGTAGCCGCTTCTAGTACTGCTCGTGTTTCACACACTCATAGTGTTGTCGTCGTTTCTATTACTTCCCTGCAATTGGATTAGCCGTTGTAACTAATGTCGGTACTTGTGGGGGCGACAGATTATTGCGCGCATTGCTGTTACATATTTCTCTGCGTGCTACATCGTTTTCAGTAAACATGTATTAACAGATTTGCTCTGCTATGCAATCATAACACGCCAGGCTTCGTGTTGGCGTGTTTGGTCAACCCCTTATACGTCTTTTCCAACACAAAGAGAAGCTGAGAACACGGCCAGCAGAAAGCGCTGCACAGCACGGAGCAGCGCCGGCGAGGGCCGCAAGGCGAAGAAGGCAACAGTTAGCGGCCTTGGGCTTGGAATTCTACAAGCTTCAAGAGAGCTCTCCGTGTTACAAAGAGCCCTTCCTTCAAGAACTTGCAAAGATCCAAGTTCTTCACCCCAATCCACACCCTGCCAGACCCAATCCAACACGGATTCAAATGTCAACTGCACGTGACTACTTCCCACATCTTCTAACAAGTCGCTCGGGGTCGACATGCCGTCCCACTGAAGCACTGCAACATTACAGAACCCTTCTGGAATCCTATAGCAACCCCATCTTTAACCTCAACTCCCAGAACGCTGCCATGCCGAGGGGCTCGAAGCCGCCGTGAAGGGCCGAGGCCAAAAAGTAGCCCTCGCGGTAAAGTATTCTTGTGATCTAAGAAAAGCAAATAAAATCAAACACAATTTTTGAAAACAATCGATTCTGATCTCATATAGACCTATATAACATAGTGTCATATAGCATAATCTAACCTACTCTCATCTAAGTCTCATATGATATTACGTGATGTGATATAAGATGGCATGATATGATGAAATACAATAAAACTTGATGGTGCTACTTCGGTGTTTCAGGGCTCTGTGAGGACATTGGGGATTCAATTTTGTCGATGAGTTTTTGCAGTTTGGGATTAGCATCAAGCCTTGGGGCGCTCAGGGATGTGGGCTAGGGGCGGGTGAGAACGACACTTCCTTCACAGAAGCTCAGGGAGTGTTTTTTTTTGTCACCTCTTTTCCACCTGCCTGAGTTAGTTAGGTCGAATGGCACATGTGGCGGAGGTAGTTGCTTGCTCCATCACAGAGTAAAGGCCTGTAGAACTAATAGACCACGCGTGTTCTTCGAGGGCCATGCCCCAAAGTGCCAGCCTGGTATGCACAGTTGAAAACCTGAGCTCTGGCATGAGTGGTTTAGGGCTTTGGGTCCATGGTGCTGGGTAAAGTGTTTACAGCTTGTTATTTTGGGGAGCTGTGCAGCTCTTCAGCGTCGTTGTTGTCGCCCCAGCTGACTCAATCTCCTCAAATCTTACGCTTCAAGGCCTAAGCCAAGATGCCGCTTCCAGGTGTGAGAAGTCCGGAGGGTTCACAAACCTGAACTTCAATGCACGGTAGGCTGGTTTGATGGCATAACAAGGCCCCTCTTTGAGATCGGAAACTCTGGCAACAAACAGCTGCTTCTGGTTCTGCATCTATACATGCCCTTTGACCTCGGATTCTGTGGAGGCACACGTCCGTGTCGTAGAAGATAATCGCGTCGTACTCAAGTCCCAGCGCATGGAGCTTGAAGAAGTCGCGATCGACACCTGCTCCCCGAAGCAAGGCCCTGCAGCTGCAAACTCGCAGCCCTCAAGTTACGAACTGCTTCCAAGATCTTACAAACTCAGAAAATCATAGAGCATCTATTGGACTATCCTGGCAGTATGCAGTCAAGGGCTCGACAAGTCGTCACGCACCTGAACCCTT